GGCTGGGAGGGCGAAGGAAGGAGGGCGGCACAGGGACGCCCGCCGCTGCTGGGGGTGCTCTGGGCATCGAAACAGGCAGCCCCGGCGGTGGCAGAAGCGGCGGGTTGCTCGTGGCCATGGCTCCGCGGGCCAGAGGCAACGCTTTGTTGCCACTCGGGAGGCGCGTCTACGGCCCAGGGGAGGCCTTCTGCGAGTGCGCCCGGGCGCGGGCTCCCTCCGACCCCGAGGGAGAGTGGCTGGCAGGGAGCCCGCCCACTTGAGAGCAGGGAGCCGCCCACCAAGAACAAGGTGGCCGGGATGTAACTCTCCGGACGGGCTGGAAGAAGAAAGGTGGGTGGGTGTCTGTGGCTGGGTGTCGGCTACTCTACTGTACAGTCATAGGAACAGGGTCACCAAGAAGCACCCCCACTTTTGAGTCTCTGAAATACTTGCATCTGTGAAAGCATCCGAAGTTAGGTGTCCAGTAAAATATTTTGTATTTGTGCATATTCATTGATACAAATGTAATGTATTTTCTCAAATGACAATACCTAATTCGGAATTGAAATGCAAGGTGCATTAAATACCTAGTCTTTTCTTCAAGCTAAAGCAGGAATGTGGGCAATCTGCAGTCCTAATATTTGCTGTGGTGGCAGTTTGATATCTGGGTGGAAAGGGGATGTTTGGAGGTCCATGGCACTGCAGAAAAGCAGAATGTCCCCTCCCCTTATGTCCTGGCTTCTCCCTGACACCAGCTGCTTTCAACCAAAACAGCAGTACCAGGACATAAAATGGAATTCCAAATTATAGTTTGGCTTTCATTGACAAACTGGGGACTTTTGCATGGTGCCCAGTCACAGTCCCCCTAAAGAACTTGATAGAAGACCTTACTGATGGGTGTTTGCCTACTAATCTCAAACGATCTTGAGAAGCTAAGTACTAGTGATTTAGTCTGTTTGAAATATCAAGCTGATATTCCCAGTGCAATATGTGAACCCAGCCAATTCCAGCCAAACAGAATAAAATCTGGTGTAGATAAATAATACCAAACATATTGAGCCCTGCTGAATCTGGTCATTTTGTATGTGTACTAACAGCTAGTTTCCAACTTTGGTCAACCAAAGTTTTATTGCTTGCCCCAGCATGAGTATAAAAATGTTGGTCTTCTACTATGCCACCACCTTGTATATCTATATTTAAAACAGCACACTTCAAACACCCTAGTACATCTGAAAACTAAGGCTTTTATGACAGTGATAATAAGCAAATGCTTTTTGTTTGTTTTTGTACCTGGGTTTAAATACCGATCATGGGCAATGTAAGAAAGAGAGGCACCACTAGTGTTTGCTCACTTTTCAAAACAAGGCTGGCCACTTCCTGAAATCATTGTCTAAGAGTGCAGTAGACTGCATGGATAAAAGAAGAACCTGCTCATGGTGGAACAGATTTAGCACAATCAAGATTAGCATCCAGCATTGATAACCACATGTCTGTTCGACCATCATCACTGATGGTGATGGAACCAATGTTCTTGTTTCATATGGAATGCATTCCTTTTTTCCCAGGTTTCAGTGCCAGTGCCCTGTTACTATTCCAGTGTAAAGTCACTCTTTGCGAGCATTAGGATTGACAGGAATTTGAACGTCCAAAGTAGAAAGCTCATATTTATGAAGATGGGCCACAGATGTCTACTGCCAGTGAGTACTTTTTTTTCCATACATAAATATATAAATGTAGCCTTTCCCCGCTTCAGGTAATGACCAATAAGTAGATCCAGACCAACCTGACAAGTGTATCTCTTTCCTGTCTTCATAAAGGCCAGAGATGGTAATTTCTTTGGGCATGGGAATAAGATTAGAATTTTCAGCCCTGCACCTTTTCTTCATGTATGGTTCTTTGCAGTACTTTTCAAGTTAGAATAGGTGGATTACATCAACTGGAAGCCTATTTTGAAAAGGGTACATAAGAGAGCCATATATTTCTGCCTCCTTATTCACATTGTTATATAACTAGCTGCATGTAAGCGTCTGTTTATGTACAACTAGAACAGTATAAGCATCTAATTGAATAACTTGACTCTGAAATCATTTCTAAGCAACGATCCCCTGAACAACTATAACGAATTGTCCTCGGGCAAAATTAAATGAGACAGTGTGTGGTGAGGTTGCTTCTCACTAGCTGATCATGTATCCATGCAGTCACCCGGACAAGTTTCCACTCACGTTGCTGATAAGGAGCTGAGAATCAGTGTTAGATTCTATTTGGAAATAGTTCTCAAAGGAGTAGGCGGCTATGGAGTGACCAAGGGGAAAACCTGAAAAAGTCCCAGGAGGACTCTGGAGGAAAAAAAAGCTCAGAAATGGAAGTGACCAGTTTAAATATCTATCTAACATGGACCGAGACTGTTTGAGCAACTGTTGAAGATAGACTATTGGTTTCAGTTCAGAGAAAGGGTAGCTAGTAACCCTAATATGATTAGGCAACATTTGCACCTCTGAAGGCTTGTTAGCTTGTGAGTGGTCTAAAATCCATGAAGGGTTTGAGGGCCCAATCCATGGAAAGAGTGCTGAAGAGAAATGGGAACGTGGGACCTGACATACCCACAGATGGCACGGCTGAGTGCCAGAAGAATGACGGAAAAAAGAAGATCAAAAGCTTACTTGGCAAAGGATTAGCAGCTAGGTTATGGCCAGCTGCCAATTCATCTGACTGAACCAAAGAAAGAGGAGATCTTGCTGCTAATACCTATAAGCTCTTTCTTAACTCTAGAAGTAGGAAGAGTAAGGAGGCATAGAATTAGAGCAGCATTCACATTTGTTAAGCTTGTATCATGACACACACATACATATGATCAAGCTGTAAGTTGAAGTTCAGAGAAAAAAATGCCCTCACTTGTAATTTTGAAACACCGATTTATCAGCAGATAAATCAGCAGGGAGGACTGTGTTAGTACGTCAGGCAATTAGAAGATATAAATCTTAAGCAAAGCTTAGCTAGATTTCTGCTGTGTGTTTTATTGATAATTTGAATAAAAAGGGGGGGAGATCTAGAATGTTGTTTTGCACTGTCTCTTTTATTCAAATCTTTCAAACCCATGTAGGCAGTGACTAGTTTAAAACAACTCAGCTCTTTGCCCAAACGCAAGCAAAGAAAAAAGATCACAGACATTGGCCTAATAGGTGCAAGTCCAGTAAGATATTAGAACAAACCCTATGCACAAATAAGCTTTATGAACATATGTTTTTTGGGAGTCAGAGATTCTGGTTTCACAGGGGAACAAGTCACACATATATAACATATGCATATATGATGAATATGTGTGGCAAACACTCCCTGAAATTCTATGGACCATGTGTAATTCAGACCAGTCCTTATCCCACACCATATTGCTGCCTATTCCATACCATTTCACTTCTCGTCTCGCTGATTTCCAACTTCCAATTTCTGCAGCATTTTTTTTCTGAATTAAGATCAGAGACACATTTTACCCTTACACCTCAAATGCTTTATTTTCTGAGCATGTAGGTCAGGGACAGGGAGCCTGTGGTCCTTCAGCTGTTGCTAAGTTTCAGTGCCTAACATCCCTCACCATTAGTAGCTTTTCCTGGTAATTATGATTCAGCATTATCTGGAGGGTTGCACACTCATGACGTGAGTGCAATAATTACCTGCCCTCAGATTAGCTCATCATCGAAAAAGGTTTCTTGTCTCCTGGCTACAAGAAGGAAGGACAGAAAAGGACAGAAGGAAAGACAGGAACGAAATTCTGCCAAATTTTAGGAAAAATACTGTGGTCACAATCACACCTGGTACCAAGATGGAGCAGAATAATTATATCCTTCAGCAGAAGCTGACTGGGAAGAGCACTGACAGACCTACAAATAATTCAGAAAGACTTTGTTATGTCTTGAAGCAGCTTCTAGCACAGTTATTATTTGTTTATATCATAGCATATTAGGAAAACATGTAGAGCAAGGGCTCTTAATGCATGGCCCTTACAAAACCCATGAACTGGGCAGAAAAAAATTTTTTTTTTCTTTGACTTCCTTCCTGCCAAAACCCATGAACTGGGCAGAAAAATAATATTTTTTTTCTTTGACTTCCTTCCTGCTACTTTGAAAATTACTGTTGTAAAAAAAATCTTGTAAAAATATCTAATAATGTTGTTAAGGGGTTGTTTCACTCCAGATAAGTGAGAGATGTAGGATGCTGTATTACACGTTCATGGAATGTACAGACATCATTGTTGCCATGTTATAATGTATAGAATAATTCCCCATTGATAGAAATTAAGAAAAATTAAATACCCTGCCATTATGATGATGGACATGTGTCTTTGTTTATATTGGGTCCTAGTGAAACTTAAAGTAACAAATGAGTATTTTTGAAGTGGCATTATGATTTATATAAAAAAATTGCAGACATGTTATCATATTGTTAATTGTTTATGAATGTTCAATGTTGGGCAGGCAAAGAAATAGCATGTATTTACAGTTTAATATCAAAAAAACCTGTGCCTTGGGTGTATTTTATACACATACTGTAGCTGGCCTAAGCTTTCTCTATCAGCATGCATTTGCATCAACGATTCTGCCAACAATGCTGAAAGAAGTCTTGTTTCCTGCCACGGAAGTCATCAACTTCCTCGGAGGCAGGGCCTGGAATCCTAAGGTTCTGTCAAAAAATGGGAGCAGAATATAAACTTCATCTCTGCTAAGAAGTTTATTGGCTTTTCACAGAGCAACTCTTGAAGCAGAAGAACTTGTGAGTAAGATTCACTTTTTTTAAGAGTAAAGGAAAGCCCACTTTCAGAACAATTTGAAATAGAAGAGTTCATTCATGGCTTGGCT